AACTCACAGCTTTCTTCCTCCGTGACTCTTCAGACTAAATCTCCAGTAACCACTGTGGATCAATTCCAACTTGATTAATTAATTTTACAATGAGTAAACCGGGCCTGGCGGTAAGGGTCGACTATCCAGCGTCACACATTCCTACCGTCGGCCAGTTCCCGGGAGAAGTCTGGTCCTTACTCTCAGTCGTCCACCCTCTCCTTCCTCATCTCAGTCCCCTCGGCCCTGGCCCCGCCCTCCTCTACTGCTCACCTCTCCCCTTCTCTCTCCCTAGAGATCAACGGGACCCAGATTTGCCCTTACAACCTGTTCACCTTCCGGGACTTCTCAGATCTGGAGAACGTGCCACACCTGCGCTACCTGAGGCTGGACGGGAACTACCTGAAGCCGCCCATCCCGCTGGACCTCATGATGTGCTTCCGCCTGCTGCAGTCCGTGGTCATCTAGGCCTCGCTCTGCCCTGCGTCCTCTCCGATCGCCCTTGAAGGCTGGTGGCCCAGGCGCCGGGCCCACCACTCATCTCCTCTGTCTCCCTGTCTTTCTCCCCGCTTTGCCTTTCTCAGCCCACCTTCCTGAGGCGGGACGAGCCACAGCCTCAGGACCGAGACCTCCCAGGCCTTGGGGGGTCCACCCAGCCCAGAGACACCCACTGCATGCTGACCCTCTGGCCCAGAGCACGGGTGTCTGTTTAAAAATTTCATAGTCCCTGCTCGCCCTGCCTCCCCGTCACTCCTGGGTAAGTCTGGGCCTGGACTGACATCTGGATCTCGGCCCTGGTGAAGCAAGAAAACGGTCCGGAGTGGCCCAGAGGTGAGGCTCAGGAAGCCCTGCAGGGACTCCTCCTGCGCGGGCAGCTCTGGCCCCAAAGGACCACAGCACCCGGGTCCCATTGGCCAAGGATCTGCCTTGCAAAGTGCTGCTCCGCCACCTGTCCGCTGGCATCAGACATCGCCACCGGCCCGTGTTCTCCAGAAAGGAAGTGCAGGGCATGGCCAGGGGAGGGCAGGGGGGGGCAGGTTTCCCGCAAGGGCCTGCACCTGGCCTACTCTTCACCGGGAGGAGCTGGGCCCTCTCTCTCCAGGGTGAACGCAGCTCACACCCTCCTAACGGGGCCTCCTTGTTCCAAGAGGAAGAGCGGGGAGGACCAGTCCAGGAGAAGACTGGCTGGGGAACCAGGAATCAGCCAGGGGGAGTGGAGTGGGAGTCAGAGCCCTGGGACGTGCCCGTGGGGTGCAAAGGGGTCCTGCAGCCCCCGTGGCCACTCTGAACAAGAGGCCTAATGCCTGGGGATCACCGTGTCCCAGTGGAGGGAGCAGAGCCACCACCCCCCTGCCATCTGTTCTCTATCAGTGGGGACGACCCAGTCCTTTCCACCCCAGAGAGGTTCCTGAGAAACCCGAGAGAAGGGGCGGGCACCGGAGATCTTCCAGAAGCTTCTTCCACGTGTGCACATTGGCCTCCCCCTAAGACAGACACATCAGTGACACCTGGTGGCTGATGCGGGACACAGATGGCCCCTCCTCTTCACCACCCTGGGGGTGATTTTCCAAGGTCAAGGACTCCCAACTTGAAGAGCCAGGGGCCCTGTGCATGGTCTCTCTCTCCTCTGGGTCTAAAGGGCACAGAGCTACAGTGGCCCTGAGTTGGGAATGCGGTGGGGGAGGGGGAGCTCGTTCCATGATGGGGGAGCAATGGTGGGAACCTTGGCGGCCCAGGTGAGGATGCAGTCTGCTTCCGGTTGCTGTCTGACCTTGCCACGCCTTCCGCTCTCGGCTCCCACAGGCTGTACACCCCGCCAAGGCCCCTCTAGCGCTCACGTTCCATTCTGCGGCTCCACTTTGGCCCTTGCTCAATGCAAGGCAAGTCCTCAGCATTCTCTCCCTCCCTTGCAGTTATTTATTCCCTGGACGGACTGTCCCTCCCCCAAAGTTCCCAACCTCCCTGCCTGGCCCAGGTGCAGCTTGGCCGACCTCAAGGGGGCCTGGGCCCCAGGGCTGACTCACCTAGGCCTTCCTCTGACCTGCCTCTAGGGGGTGCTGCCCCTCCACAGTCCCCGAGGGTGTGTGCGGGTGGCTGGCGTGGATGTTCTAGAAATGAGTGGTACTCAGTGCCTCCCCTCAAGACAGGTTTAGAAAAGGTCCAGAGATTTTAAAGAAATTGTATTAAGCTAGACCCCTAACTTCAAGAAGTTCCCATTAGACTCTTTCTCGTTGTTGTCTTGTGCTAGTTTACAGAAACAGAGCGCATTTCATCCCAGCCCCTTCCCCTGCTCCCATGAGGGCCTCCTCTTCCGCTGCAGCTGGCTTCTCCGAGGCTCCTGCTTAGAGTCAGTGCAGTCCCGGGGCTGTAAGCAGCCTGGTGCTCCGGCCTGGACAAGCCCCCTCCGCACCTTGGTCACACCTTTAACCTCAGCCCCTCTGAGGAGGCCCTCGGGGAGCACAGCCCTGTGGCTCCGGGAGGGGGGCCGTTCTCCTGCCCCTGCAGACCCAGCAGCAACACAAGCACCATCACCCCTTCCCTCCCCACGGCTGTGAGCCAGAGAGGATTCCAGTTAAACTGACTTGACAGCAACCCCCTCTTCTGTCCCCCCCACCGCCCCCTCGCTGTGCTGGTTTCCCGTGGGTTTCAGGGAAGCCCCCTCACCCCCCCGAAGCACACACAGGCTGGGCCCGGTGCTGTTGCCTCTGCACTCCCAGCAGTGCAGGTGGGTGTCTGTGTGTACTCTGTCCATATGGCTGTCCTCCTGGGAGACCGCGTCGCTCTGTGAACCAGCTCCCGCGTTGCAGCGCGCTTCACAGCAGAGGAAATAAAGGAATATGAGAGCATCCAGCTTGGACTGGGCCATGTGAGCAGGTCGGGAATAATCCCCCGAGGTCCCTCTGCCGCCCCCTTCCTCCTCCCGCCTCCTCTCCCCGTGCTCTGAGCTGATGGGTGGGGAAAGGGTCTTAGTCTTAAGAAACTCTAAGTAAACGATTCCAAAGCCTTTTCTTGGTGACTTTCCCCCCAAACTTACAATTCTCGTGAAAAATTATTCCTAAAGTCTGACCAGAAATCTGACAACCACATTGGAAGCCCAAAGGCCCAGGACTTTCAACCCACAGATGCCAAATGGTTGAGCGTCTCCCAAAGGCTCAGCTCTGAGCCAAATACGGAAGACGCAAAGCGGACACGGCTCCTGACCAGGTGACGGGTGCAGACTGGTCGAGATGCCGTGTAAAACCCAAAGCAGTGGCAGCGCTGCCTCAGGCCAGAACCCAGGGCCACCTCGTCTGGGAGGACTGACAGGCTGTGCAAGGTGTCTGTCCACAGAAGGGCGAGAGGAGGGCACCCCTAAGTCTCCCTTCAGATGGAAGGTTCTAGAAGGAGGCGTGTGATCCTCCCAACCTACATCTTCTTTAGGATGCTGCTCCCACCCTGCCTCTAACACCTGCCTCAGATCAATCCAGCAAGTTGTCTGTAGATTTCAGCTGCGTGCAAGGTTCCCAGCGCAGAATTCAAGGGTAGGGAACACCTATCCCATGCCCATGAGCAATGAGTAGCTGGATAAAGGGGGAAATCCATTCCTTAATAACTGTGTGTCTGACGAGCTAGAATAATGCCGTGTACAGAGCGTGGTGGAGAGGCCCCCGGCTCTGCCAGAGAGAATCCAGGAAGGCTCCTCTCGAGGGAGCTGTATCTTAAGGGCTGAACAGGACTGTGCAGGTGGGACGAGGTGGGAGAGGACATAGGAGGAGGGGAAAGGTGGGAAGGCTTGGCGTGTAGCCTGTAGGGTGTGCGTGTATGTGTGTGTGTGTGTGTGTGTGTGTGTGTGTGTGAGACAGAGAGAGAGAGAGAGAGAGAGAGAGAGAGAGAGGGAGAGACTGTTCAAAAAGCAGGAGAGCTCCTGAAATTTCCACCCCCTCTCCCTCCCTGCCCAGTGAAAGGGGCAGCTGGCCAGACTTGCGTCCCCACCGCCTGCCACATCCACCCCATCAGCATGCCTTTGCTTCCCCTAATGAGGGGCTGGGGCCAGAAGGGCTCCCAGCACCTCCCACACCTCTTCTGGGCTCTGGGGAACTGAGCATCCAATGGTCCCCAACAGGTCACACATCCACATCCCCGGGCCTCCCTGACATCCGTGAAACCAGAGCGTGTGGCAGGCACGTCTATGAACGCAGAGCCAAGGCTGGGAGAGAATAGGACATGGGTCAGTGTTCAGGTGATTGTGACTGGGGGGCGGGGAGGTGGTGCTGGGGAGCCTGAGCATGCAGGTGAGCCGGCTGTGCCCAGGGGAGGGCTAACTGCAGGCAGAGGGCATGGCAACAGAGCAGGCAGCTGTGTGCCACGGAGAACGAGGGGAGGGAGATGGGAGCAGGAGGCAGGCAGGATGAAGGAGCAGTCACAGCTGCACCCTCACAGGGGATGAATGGCGCAGCGGGGAGGAGGGAGGCCCTGGCTGCAGAGAGCAGGCAGAGGACAGCAGCCAAATAGGCCATCTGCTTCTGGGGCACCGTCCTGGCTGCAGGGCTCCCTCTCCCTCCACCCAGCCGAGCCCCTTTTGATGGTTCCCCCGGGGGAGGGGGTGGCTGCCAGGGGCACAGGAATATGCCTGGCTCTGGTGACCAGGTCCTCGGACTGGGGCAGCGTCTCCACGACAGCTGGTGGCCGGGAGCCTGCTGGCCGAGCACTGCCCTTCGGGCCAGGCTCTTAGATCTGCCCCTTCACCGGTGTGCCCGACAGAGGTGAGCTCTGCCAGCGCCATCTGCGACGAGGGCACCGAGACAGCTGGTCTCGGGACTCCCAGGGATGAGGGGGAGCGGGGAGGGTCATATGAACAAAGGGGAACTCTCCGGCCTGAGAGTCAGGAAACCGAGCGCTTGCCCAGGCTCTGTGTGACCTTGGGCCAGTCCCCTCCCCTCCCTGGATCTTGTTTCCCTATCTGTGCAAGAAGGGGTTCCCATTAGATGGTCCTATGGGGCCTGCAGCTGGGATCCAGTACCTGCTCAGAGGAGGAGCATCACTGAAGAACCCGGGCAGCATGCAGGCTGGCAGGGTCCTGGGAGACACATCGCCCACCCACCTTCACCGAGGACAGCCCAGCAGAGCCTGTTGCGCCAGGCAAAGGAGGGTCTCTCCCCATAATTATATCGGGGGGGGGTTCTTCTCAGTGCCCTGAGGACCCCCCACAATGCCACCTGTGATCAGGAGTCTTCTCTAGGCCCAACCTCAGCAGATTCAAAGCATGTCCCATACCGTCCACGCCGTCATCTCCAGAGAACTTGACGTTGGCTTCCAAATCCTACCCCATCCCCACCCCCATTCTCCTCTTTGAATCACCGGCCCTCAAACCCATCTGGCGATTTTTGTGGTTAGGGGTCCCACGTTGGGAATCCAGGTGGTGGGTGGTGGTGGGGGTGCCTCAGCTCTCAGCCCCTTTTAATGTTTGGGTTTCACCTATAAAGTCAGAACATCATCGCCCTCCGGATGGAGAAAAATGCTGGAAGGCAAGCCCCACCCTCCACCCCCCACTGCTGTCTTCTCTGAGAGCCGTGCGGAATCTGAGGGGTGGGGTCCCTCAGGACGTGGGCACTGCCGACCCTCTCAGAGAGGGTGGGCAAGAAAGAGAGACAGCAGACCGAGAAAGAGAGGAAGAGATGAGAGTGGGGAGTGGGAAGTGGTCCCTAGAGTCTGCAAGCTCTTCATTTGCAGCAAACCTGTCTGGACTTTCCTTAGAAATAAGACCTCCCCCTGCCTTCAAGTAACACCATAAGCCAAACCTCACTGGGAGATCGCAAAGCCTTCCTATTCTCTCTAGAAAAGAAAGGCCGCGGCCTCCGGTCTGAAGCTCTTTCCCAGCCCCTCCCGGCCTTCGCAGGGGCCCATGGGGCGTCCGCACTTGCTTGACGTGGGGGCTTGGCCTGTGCGGGCTCGGGGAAGAGCTCCAGCTGGGAATCTGGAGCTTGGCCACCAGCTGCTCCTTCATCCCAGTCCCTCACATCTCTAGGCCTCGGTTTCCTCATCCGGGTGATGAAGCTGCTGGACCAGGTGCTTCTAAGGGGGCCCTTTCTTGCTCGCTCCTTCTGCTACCCTTCCATCCCTCTCCACAGTGACTCTGCACGTTAGAAATGGTCACTGACGTTCCCACAGTCTGAAATTTAGGCAAAAGCTGATTTAAACTGTGTCCAGCAAACAGGACCAGCCTCACTCAGAGCACTGTGGCTCCACGGACACCCTGTCAAACCCCACGATGACCAGGCCCGCTATACTGGGTCTGCCGCTTCCCCAACCAGCCTCAAGGTTTCAACAGGTAGCCAGGGGTCCAGAGTGGAGCCCAGTAAGGGCTAGGGAGTGGAGAGTGAGGGAGAAGAGAAACAGCCACCGTAAGAACAGAATAAAAAAATCAAAGAGAGAGCTGGCTGTCCCAAATGCTTCTGCCCCAAACACACAAACTGGAGAGGAAGCCAAGGAACGCCAGAGCGCCAGGCCTCGCAAAGCCACCACCTTAATTAACAGCATCGCTGGGGAGGTGGGAGGCTGAGTGGTAATTAGATTAGAGACAATTAAAAGCCGGTGGGGAAGAATAAATAGCTCTGTGGCCGTCACCTGGCAGGGGGCACGCGAAGCAGTCATAAGCCTTTCAGCTCTGTATTCCCTCCAGCGCAGCTCCCTCCTGTCCCCGGTGCCCTCCTGGGGCCGGGGTGCTGGTGCGCCTGGCAGCAAGGGGCTGGCACGCCCCTGGGGTCAGAACTGAGGCGGAGGGGGAAGCAGTAACTCGGTTCCTGGCCTTGTCTGGGATGTTTGCCTCGGGCGGACGTAGGGTATCGGGGCCTCAGCAGAGAGAACCCTTCAGCCAGGAGCCCATGGCCCCTCAGTTACAGAATCCCAGCCTCAGAGGGACCACGCGGGCCTGCGCTGGAACTGCCACTCGAGGCCTTGGAACAGGAAGGGTGCGGGGCCTGTCGGCTCCACCTGCGCTGTCCCATGGCTGCTGGTGAGAAGAGCTGCTTCTTCGTCTTGGGCGGTGTCACTGCTGACAATGGGCCCTGGAGCTGGACACAGACCGGGTCTCTCGTAATCTCTGTCCGAGTGGTAATAGCAAGTGATGGAAACCATGCACTGTTCCATTGCACGGCCAGGAAAGCATCTCACATGTTCTAAGCCGGTCTGAGTTCGACAGCCTGGCCTAACTCTATGACCGTGGCCATGGACAGGGGACAGCGGAGGGT